GAAGTCACTCCTGAGGTTCACCCTTCAGCCAAAGATTAGACAGGTCTATAGGGCCAACAGTAACACACATGAGGAACATGCTTCATAGTTCAATCATGTATACAAGACTAATGGGCACAACAGCCCAAAAGCAAAGATGAGAAGGCAGGAAGGGAGAGGAAAACTGGACGAATGGAAACAGGGAACCCCTGGGGGGTGAAGAAGGGGAGAGTGTGGACACACCATGGGGTTGGCAACCAATGTCACAAAACAATTTGTGGATTAACTGTTTGATGAGAAACTAATCTGCTCTGTAAACTTTCACCGAAAACACAATTAAATAAATAAATAAATAAAACTTGAAGTGGTAATAGACAAAAGGTCAATTAGATTCTAGTGGTCTCTTTAAAATTTAAAGTTTAAGTGAACTTTTAGTTTCAGAAAAAAATGTGGTTTGACTCTAGGCCAATCAGCTCTGCCAATCAGCTCTGGGAGGCTTACAGACTACACTTGAGAAAAGATTATGCAAATCAAGGTAAAGTCCTGAGAGTGAGAAACATAAAGTAAACCCAGTGAGGTGGAGAGGTCAAAGAACACTCACTAGATAAGTTCGTCCTTATAGCTTTCTCATTCACCGTTGTCCTCTCGGCAGTCAAAGATAGGAAGGCCTCCTCCAATTGGGTGGCTTTTTTTTGTAAGCTGAAAGCAACATGGCCTGTCTTAGGTGAGAGATAACTGATATTCCAGAGAATAGGGCTCAGACATGCTCGGAGGTGGCATGTGGACTGTGCTAGAAACACTGATGTTCAAATCCTGGCTCAGTGTCTACTACCTGGGTAGCTTTCATTGTTGTTAGTTGCTGGCAAGTCAGCTCTGACTCGTGGTTACCCCATGTACAATAGAACGAAACATTGCCCATTTCTTCACCATCTTTATAATCGTTAGTATACTTGAGTCCATTGTTGCAGCCACTGTGTATCCTGAGTGCCTTCCAACCTAGGAGGCTCATCTTCCAGCACTACATCAGACAATGTTCTCTTGTGGTCCACAGGGTTTTCTTTTTTATTGTACTTTAGATGAAGGTTTACAGAATAGTTTTCATTAAACAGTTAGTACACATATTGTTTTATGATAATGGTTAACAACCCCATGACATGTCAACACTGACCCTTCTTGACCTTGGGTTCCCTATTTACAGCTTTCCTGTCCGCTCCTGCCTTCTAGTCCTTGTCCCTGGACTGTTGTGCCCCATTAGTCTCGTTTTGTTTTATGGGGCTGTCTAATCTTTGGCCAAAGGGTGAACCTCAGGAGTGACTTCATTGCTGAGCTAAAAGGGTGTCTGGGGACCATACTCCCGGGGTTTCTCCAGTCTCTGTCAGACCAGTAAGTCTGGTCTTTTCTTTGTGAGTTAGAATTTTGTTCTACATTTTTCTCCATCTCTGTCCAGGACCCTCTGTTGTAATCCCTGTCAGAACAGTCAGTGGTGGTAGCTGGGCACCATCTAGTTGTGCTGGACTCAGTCTGGTAGAGGCCATGGTAGATGTGGTCCGTTAGTCCTTTGGACTAATCTTCCCCTTGTATCTTGTTTTCTTCATTCTCCCTTGCTCCTGAAGGGGTGAGGCCAGTGGAGTATCTTAGATGGCTGCTCACAGGCTGTTAAGATCCCAGATGCTACTCACCAAGGTAGAATGTAGAACATTTTCTTTATAAACTTTGTTCTGCCAATTGAGCTAGATATTCCCTGAGACCATGGTCCCCACAGCCCTCTGCCCAGCAATTCGGTCCCTCCGGGAGTTTGGATGTGTCTATGGAGCTTCCATGACCTTGCCTTGTACAAGTTGTGCTGGCTTCCCCAGTATTTCCATAGGGTTTTCATTGGCTAATTTGCAGAAGTAGATTGCCAAGACTTTCTTCCTGGTCTTAGTCTGGAAGCTCCACTGAAAACTGTCCACCATGGGTAACCTTGCTGGTATTTGAAATACCAGTGGCATAGCTTCCAGCATCATAGCAACATGCAAGACACCACAGTAAAACAAATTGACAGATGAGGGGTGGGCCTGGGTAACTAGGGCAATTCATTTAACCTGGCTAAGCCTCAGAGTTCTTCTCCAAATTTCAGGTAGTAATAATAACTGGTCCATAGGGTTGTGTGAAGATGATGTGAAATGACGTAAGGAGTGTTTAGCACAGCCCTGGACACATAGTGCTTAGTAAGTGTTAGCTGTATTAGGTTTCGTTCCAGTCATACCTCTTCCGGGAGGCTGAATGCCTTTGGTTAAGCAAATGATTTGAATCTTTCCAGGCTTTATATTCTCCACTTTTGAAACAAGTCAGTTGTACTATGACCTCTAGAAATTCCTGGAGTCTATTAGAAAGCACACATATGAAAGAAAAATGATCCAGGAAAGCAGGGTCATGGTTTTTCCAGATTCATTGCTAGTTTATTCATCTGCCATATTTCAACTGTGTTGGAAAACGGGACCTAAGCTGCTATAGAATTTGATGCCTCAAGATAGAAGGCCTCGTTCTCAGAAGTTTCTGTTGCTGTATTTAAACCCCTGAAAAATCACTGTGACTTTAATTTAAATGGACCAATCTCTTTCAAAAATAAGGAAGAGTTTGGTGAAATATTTCTAAAATGTTTGTGCTTTTGATACTTTATTACATATGGTTTCATGTTATGTTAATGATATCAGATTCCTTACTCACCAGTCTCACCCTCAGAAAAGAAAACCAATAGTAATCAGACAATGATATTACCTTTAGGTAAAAGATCTTAATCCTGAGTCACATTCTCAAAAACCAAGAGTCAGGAGAGGGCTTTTACTCTAGCTGGATCCTTGCCATGAGGGAAAAGTTTGAGTGGGCCTCAGCGCCCACGTCTGAAAAAATTGAAACTTTAACTAGTTGAGCTCTCTTGGGTCCTTTCTAATTTCTCCTGTTCTGTCCTGGTATGATGGTTTTAAAACACATCTCGATTTCTTTGACATTCCTTCACCAAAAGGTGGAATCTAATTGCCCTCCCTTTGAATATGTCGGCCTGTGACCCACTTCTAAGGAACTGAATGCAGCAGAAGAGACACTGAGAGGCTTCGAAGTTTCCATCAATGTACCGGCAAAAAGGAGGAGCGTGGGTCAGGATTGGGGCCTTCAGAAACCTTGCACCCTAGGCGCCTCATCTCCCACCTTTCAGTTAGCAGCCAAGCAGGTTAACCATTTGCACCACGCAGGGACCACATAGGTTCATTGTTGTTGCTCTTGTGTGCCGGCTCCTCGATTTTGACTCATAGCCACAGGTTCATTTGTTGTGTGCTGTCCAGATGATTCCGACTCATAGGGACCCGCTAGGAGAGAGCAGAACTGCCCCATACGGTTTCCGAGTCTGTAAATCTTTACAAAAGCAGACTGCCACATCTTTCTCTGGCAGAGTGGGTGGTGGGTTGGAACCACCGACCTTTCGGTTAGCAGGGAGTGCTTTAACCACTGCACCGCCAGGGCTTCCCGTAGGTTTATTAGTAGTTCTCAAATTGTGGTTCCCAGACCACAATTTCAGGGGCGTGGGTCAGGGCTGGGGTCTCCAGAAATCTTGCACCCTAGGCGCCTCACCTCCAATCTTTCGGGCCCATCTCAGATCTACTGAATTGAGGACTCTAGGGCTGGAGGCCAGCCATCTGTTTTCACAAGCCCTCCAGGGGATTATGATGGGCACAAAAAGTTGGAGACACACTGCATCTATCAACGTAAAGTTGGCTTTAAAAACAAAAACAAAAAACTTCTTGGACATCCCTCAATCCCCAGGTAGCGTGACCTACCACTCCCCCTCTCAACCCTCGGTCCTCAGTTCCGTGGTTTAGGCTTTTGGCCCCTCTGAAAGCCCGGGCGAGGGATGAAGGTTCGTTGGGGGCTGTGCCGCTGGGGGCCCGGCTCAGTGGGGAGGGGATGGGCGCCGGAGTGGGTGCCAGCCCCGCGGCAGCCCTTCCCCTCCGCCCCGGCCCGGAGCGCTGGGCCCGGGCGAGGAGAGGGGGAGAGAAAGAGGGAGACGGGTACGTGCTCCCGGGCCCAGCGCGAATGTCCCCTACAGCTCTGGGTTCTCGGCCGCTAACACCTCCCCTAGCTCGTCCCGCCCCGCCCCGCCCCACCCCGCCTGGGCCGAAGCCCACCGGCGCCGCCACTCGGCTGGTGGGGTCTGCTGCTCCTGCCTCCGGGTTTTAAGAGCTGCAGAGAAGCGAGCATGCCAGGCAGAGTCGGGTTTCCGAGTGCGATAGGACCCGCGCGGCGCTCTGAAGTTTGGAGAAGGCAGGAAGTTCCAAGTTCTCGGTCTGCGCGGGCAAGGCCGCCTGGAGGCGAGTTGGCCGTGTGTGTCCATTGCGCCCTTGACGGGGGGACAGCTGAAGGAGACCGTCCTGCGACCTTCCGGAGAGACCCGTCAGGACCCAGGGGACAAATTTTACCGGCAGGACGAAGCCCGAGCGACGCTTTCTAGGAGGGTTCTATCCCGGCGGGTGTCTCCGAAAGTGAAGCGCGCGTTCTCCGGAGGCACTCGGTAGGGCGGGCCCACGCGAGACCTCCTGGGGAGTGGGATCGAAAGGGAGCCCCCGACCTCCAGGGGGCGTCTCCCACTTGTAACCTGGACACCCAAGGAAAGCCGTCTGGTCGCCTTCTGGCCCCGGCGCTCGCCCCGCTTCCAGGGGTTCCCGCGCTGGGCACACCGCCAGGTACACCCAGCCTGCGCCTCCAGCCCGGCCTTTCCCCTGCCGCGGCAGGTTCAATCCCGACGCGGCCTCGCCCCGAAGCCGACCCTAGACCCCGCATCCTCCTCCCACTCAGCTCGAAACAGCAGCAGCTAAAACCGGGAGTCTCCCAAGTGGACCTTCACTTTCCTCTCCAACCCGCTCAGGGCTGACTCGAGGCGCGAAGCCAAGCGAGCCCCGCGCTCCTTTCGGCGGCACGATGAGCTGAATCTCCAGGGTAGTCCTGAGCCAGGGAATGCGACTCGGACAAGTCCTAGGCGCGACGGCATCATGGAGGCCTCAGGCGCGCAGCTCCTAAGCTTGGAGGCGCCGAGCCCCGCGCCCTTCGGACAGCCCCCGCCCGCGGAGGAGCTGCTCGCCCCGGAAGGCCTCCTCCTGGAGAGTGGCGAGGACAGCAACGGCCTCTCTGAAGCCCCAGGCCCCGACGCTCAGCCTGGGGCCAGCACCCTGTCCCCGGAGGAGGAAGTCGCCCTCCGGGAGCAGGAGGAGCTGCTGGAATGCCGCCGCCGCAGCCGCGCGCGCTCCTTCTCGCTGCCCACCGACCCCATCTTGCAGGCGGCCAAGTTATTGCAGCCGCCGCCTCAGGCCGAGGGGTTGGGCACGGAGGGTGGGGAGCGGGCCGAAGCCGCACCGCCCAGCTCCGGTGGCTGCTGCACCAAGTGCAAGAAGCGGGTGCAGTTTGCCGACGCGCTGGGGCTGAGCCTGGCCAGCGTGAAGCACTTCAGCGAGGCTGAGGAGCCCCAAGTGCCGCCCGCCGCGCTCGCCCGCCTCCGGAGCTTCCCCATGTGCCCCAAGGACCTGCAGCAGCTGGAGAGCCTGCTGGCCGCGGCGGCAGCGGCGGCGATAAAGACGGCCTCGCCTCCCTCGGCGCCCGCCCCGCCCCGGCTCCGGCCGCTCTTCCAGCTCCCGGATCCCCAAGCGGTAGTCGAGCGCCTTTGGCGGCAGCGCGTGTGCCTGGAGCGCGTGGACTGTTCGGCGCCCGGGGGTGCGGAGGTGAGGGGCTCGGGCCGGGTGCTCTGCGGTCCCGGGCCGAGAGCTGTGACTGTTCGCTACACCTTCACCGAATGGCGCTCCTTCCTGGACGTGCCGGCCGAGCTGCAGCCCGAGCCAGAGGAGCCACAGCCGCCAGAGGCCTCGTCGAGGGTCTCCAGGCCGGAACCCGGGCCCGGGGATGGCGAGGAAGAGCCGGGCACCCAGCGCTTCCACTTCTCTCTGTGCCTGCCTCCGGGCCTGACGCCCGAGGACGCGGAGGACGCGGACGCGTTGGGTTCCGCTGTCCACTTCGCTGTCCGCTACTGCTGCGCGCAGGGCGAGTACTGGGACAACAACTCCGGCGTCAACTACACACTGCGCCTTGCGCGCCCAGCGGACGCGCTCTGAGCCCCCGCCCCAGTGGCGCGCGGGGGACGATGGGAAGTGGCTGGCCAGCGGCCGGTCGCACCTGTCACCCAGGGGACTGGCGGGGGACGCTCTGGTGCGTCCCCAACCCCTGGCGGACCTGGCCGTCGGCCTGGCGTCAGAGGAGCGTAGCAGGGAAGAGAGGGAGCCGCTGAGCCTTGAACTCACTCCAGACGGACCCTGTGAGCGAGAAGGATCTCCCTGCGCCCGCTCCAACCCCCTCCGGCCTCGTCATTCTCCTCTGTGGGAACTTCCTAGGTGGTCTCCTGAGTTCAGCCCCGCGTCAGAATGGGAAGAAACTCCCAAGGCCCCAGCAGTAGCTTTCTCCAAGCAAATGGCTCGTGACTCCTGAGCGTGGCTCTAAGGGCCTTGGAATTTGTCCTCACCCGGAGCAGTCGTACTTTAGTCCTTGCAGCTTTCTGGAAACCCACGGGAGACGACGAAGTCCCCCACTACAGTGCTCAGAGCAAGGCTCCAGGCTGCAGATGGAGGCGACCGGCCCTGTGCACGAACCGGCGTCCTTTTCTCTCAGCTGTGGTCTGGGAATTGTTTGCCCAACCGTGACGTTATTTATCCAGCTTGTACGTTTGTGTACAAATGTCCTTTAAAAAACCAAAGGCCACTTGCACACTCAAGCTGCACTTTATGTTTTTGCCCCTGTGCACTTGGGACAGGGAGCCTTGCTGTCGCAATGGTTAAGCGCTGGGCTGCTAATCTAGAGGTTGGCAGTTTGAACCCACCAGCCGCTCCGCGGGAAAAAGACGTGGCAGTCTGCTTCCTAACGATTACAGCCTTGGAAACCCTATGCGGGCAATTCTCTGTCCTGTAAGGTCACTAGGAGGCCGAATCAACTCAAGTACAACGGGTTTGGTTTGCATTTGGCACTTTGGAGGCTTGACATATGATCTTGTCAGCTGATGAGTGAGATAGCACTTTAATCATAATATTTACAAATTTCCCTTCTATTCCTCCTCTGTGGTGTGAAAGGGCCCAGATTTCCCATGCCGGGCCAAAAAAGTTTTTAAAAATAAGTTTTGTAGAATGAGTTCCTTCCTTTAAATAGAATGCCAGAGTAATTCAGTAGAACTTGGCTGTGTGCAGCAAGAGTGGTTTCTAGCATAGACAGAGCACAAAAGAGCTGCTGGACAACTGCTTGGCCAGAGAAACTGGACTCCGAGGTGGCTCTCTGTCCCTGTCAGTGCCATGGTGGGGAGTGGTAACTTGACTTGGTGGATAATGAAGGATGCCTGGCTGGTAAATGCTGCTCAGTACTGGGTGTGTATGTTACGACCACTGGGCATCGATGCTGGTGGCTGTGGAAGCCAAGATGATGTGGCCATGGGTGAGCCACGGAGTCCAGATGGGACCTGGCACAGAGCAGGGTGGGCTGGGTGTGAGGACTTCATTTCTTCACACTTTGGTCAACCTTTGGTAATTTATCTTTTTATTTTTTCCAATTTGTGTATTTCCAGCACATGGCTAGTACAATCAATTAGTTTTGGAATGGTAGTCTTTAAGGAGGACAGTTTCACTCTTGCTTTCTAGAACAGGGGTTTGCAAACTACAGCTCATGGGCCAAATTCGGCCTGCAACCTGTTCTTGTATGGCTTGTGAGATAAGAATGGTTTTTACATTTTTAAATGGTTGGAAAAAAAAAGAAGAATACTTATTTTGTGACACATGACAATTATATGAAATAAAAATTTCAGTGTCTGTAAATAAAGTTTTATTCAAACATACCCATGGTTATTTGTTTCTGCACTGTGTAAAGCTGCTTTAGCGCCGTAAGACAGAGTTGAATAGATGCAACAGAGGCCATATAGCCCCTGAAGCCTGAAATATTTACTATCTGTCCGTTTACAGAAAGTTTGCTGACCCCTGCTCTAGAGAAGCGCTGAGAGTTATACTTAATAAAGCAGTGACTACCAACATAAGTTAGATTTTAGTGGATTTTGCCACTTGAAATAAACGTCTGTTGGGTAATGCTTTAAAAGTGTTTACATTATTCTCATTAATCTTGGTTAGATTAAATACTAAGACACTAAATGTGCAATTATTACTGTATTGGGGAGGGTAATCTACCTGCTGCCTTATTTCATGTAAGAAGTATTAACAAAACAGTATAACTGAAATAAAGCAGTCATCTGCTATAACCGAAAAACCACAAGTGGGTGGCTTTAACAAACGGAAATTTATTTTCTCACAGTTTAGGAGGCTAGAAGTCCGAATTCAGAGCGCTAGCGCTAGGGAAAGGTTTTCTCTCTGTTGGCTCTGGAGGAAGATCCTTGTCTCTTCAGCTTCTGCTTTCTGGTTCCTTGGAGTCTTAACATCTGTCTAACCCCACGTCTGCTCTGCTTGCTCCTTTAATCTCTTTTATATCTCAAAAGAGATTGACTCAAGATATACCCTACACCAATCCTGCCTTGTTAACATGACAAAGACAACCCATTCCCAAATGGCATTATAACCACATAGAGGTTAGAATTTGCAATACATATTTTTTGGGGACATAATTCAATCCATTACATCTGCATGTCTAGTAAACTACAAAAAGTGTCATATGTTTCAGTGCCTCAAAATGTGCTATCTTAAGCTATAAAAGTATTAAGTTTGAGCTTTGGTTTGGAGACATCCCTTCTGATTATGGAAGTGTTTTCCAAAGTTAAAATGGGCGTGGAAAATTTTTTAAATGATAGTTTATTGATGGAAAAACACTAGGAGTTACTGAGTTATAATTTACACTTGGAGTAAAGCAGATTTTAAAAAAATGGTCACATTGATGAGATGATGAATATTTAATTCACATATGCTTATAAAAACTTTATAACAATAACCAATTATTAGACTTAAATGATATTTTGGTTATTAAATGCAAAGGAATCAAGGATTTTCATGGAACTTGCAGGTATTCCTGAGTCTGGTATACGATTTCTTTCTTAAAAGTGCATTATTGTATAATAAAACATACTTTATATTTTTCTTATGCATTTAAAAATACATTGTAGTTTAAAAATGCCCATATTGTATATAGCCTATAACACAGTTTGGGAAATGCTGGTTTATAGGGTAATAATACATTATTTTGGATTATTTAAAATTAGAGTGAAATTAGAAGCCCAATATAATGATCAAAATAGAGATCCTCTTGTCTAGTATCCTTTAAAATGGTAACTCATCATATTTGGAATAAAATAGATGATAAATGCAGTTTCAAGAGGTGTGTATAGCAGATTTTCTATTCTTATAAAAAACTCGCTGAGTTTTAAAAACATTTTGGAATTCAAACAATTTTAAAAGTACTTATTTCATAATATAATGAACATCAAACAGGGCTATTAGGAAGGGAAACCTAGCCTTACTCTCCCCCATAATCTTGCAGAATTGCTTTTCAAAAGTTTAGAATTTTGTAAAATATTTTGAATATCCCAGTCTTTCTGCAAATGGCTATAGCCTTTCAAAGTACTAGAATCGATCATCTTTTAAATGTCAATTTAATTTTATAAATTGCCAGTTTTTCATTGTAGATTAGTAGCAAACATTTAGTAATGAAATGTGTAAGGACCATAAAATAGGTTCTGTTTGTTTTTGAAAAGTTTGTTTCAAAGGAAGGGGCAATACTGACTGGAGTGAGGAAGTGTTTAAGAATGTATTTCCTGAAAAGAATTAAAACACACACATACACCCACACCAAAAGCAAAATGCCAACAACGTAGCTGTTGCTTTTTTGCAGTAGTATTTAGCTGAACTTGAGCAAGCAAGGGCCATTCTACTTAAAAATGTAATAACTTAAACACTTTTCTCTAGTGATTGGAACTAAGTTCTGCTGGGCTCAGTTCACGACCCTGACCTCCACCAGACAGAAAGTCTAGTTTTTTCTTTACGGGCAAGTGGGACACTTGGGTCCAGCAGTGTTAAACAAAATGTGTGTCTCTAAAGAGTTTCAGAAGCAGTGGCTAGAAATGCAACAGATGTTTGAATGGAACAAAATTTCCCTTCAAGAACCTCAGGTTTATGAAGCCAGGTGGTCAGCTGGTTCCAAGTCCTAACTAGAGAGGCGAAGATCATGCTCCCAGAGTGGGTGCTGGACTCTAGGGGTCTTCTGAGCCCTTGGGGACACTGCAGAGTCCATCCACAGGCATCAAAGGTCACGGCTCAGGCAGCCTTTCTGTATCAACTGGGGATGGGGCAGCTGTTATTGTCAACCAACCTTTACTGAAGCCTCGAGGGAATTAGCCCTGTCGGGCAGGCGCTCCTATTGATTTCCATTCTGACGACCCCCTCACCTCCTGCGTCCCGGTCCCCCGCTTCTGTCCTGGCTCAGGTCAGGAAGGCTTCCTTGGGATTGCTGTGGTTCTTGAGTCTATCCCCCACATGTTGTCAGATGCTACTGAAGCAGAGCCTTTTTGCTCATTTCATTTTTGAAGCTCTGCTGTTAGACTCTTAATGCATCACGTCACGAATTTTCCATGTTTCTGCTTTCTCGCACAGTTTTTGCGTATTTTAGTTTGCTAATTGTTTTCATTCCCTGACTCAGTTGCACGTTTCTTTTCTTAAGGGCTTTGTGCTTGGAGCCACTTGGGGGATTGTGATCAGTGCCACGTGTTCTTTGTCAGGAGTGCAAGTAGCAGTCCTATGGAGGAACTTGGATGCCTTGCTTTTTTGTAGAGTCCTGGACTGAATAGATGCGCATTTTTGGTTGCATGCACAGAGACATGGTTTTGTAGGTTAAAAGAGCAGCGCTGTGGTATGTAGTAACTTAACAAGCAACACTGATAAACAGTGAGCTGTTTGCAGCCCAACCTCTGCCCAACCAATTTCCGTGATGCCAGAGCCTGGATGGTCTCCCAAGGATGGGGAATGTGCTATTTGTAGTCACTAGGGCAAGGGGCTGGCAGCAGGGTGGAACCTGAAGCCCTGGGCTCATCCTAGTGACCCCTCCTTCCCTTCCTACAGATCAGTCCTGGCCACCTGGCAGATGAGTG